TCGTGCTCAGGGTGCTGCAGTCCACGGTGTACTGCGGGACAGGGGACGCGCTCAGCCTGCCCGGCGGGGCGAAGCCGAGCAAAAACCGCCCTTCCCGGTAGCTCGGAAAGGAGGAATTCAGCATGGATGGAAGAGCGCGTTGGGCATGGAAGGAGCAACGAGCTCATGACAACCCTGTGAAAACCTGTCCCTGGTGGGCTCAGGTCCCCGTAGCCGGAGCTGATGGTGATACCCGCGGGGGGACGTCTGTCAGCCCCGCTCTCACCTCCCCATCCAGGTACGTGGCCCCGATGTATCGGTGCATTTCTTTGATGTCCCTGCTGGGCCCGGTGAGCAGCGACGTGCCGGTGTCCACGATGGCCTGGCAGCCGCCGGAGCAGAACGCCGGCGTGCCGCCCACCTGGATGCTGCGGGAGGAGGAGCGGGGCGGGAAGGACCGGCGGGAGCCGCCCGGCCGAGCCCTCCCGCCCGGCGCCACTCACGCGTCGATCCGGATCTGCCAGTAGCCCTGCTGGGTGACCGGCACCCACTGCAGGGTGCCCACGAAGCGGGACGGGTCGAAGCCCCCGAAAAGCAGCTCCCCTCCATCCGCGGAGTCCGGTTTCCTGGGGGAAGAGCAGGCCTGAGGGTTTCCACATTCCCTAACCATGGGATTCATCCCCATGGGCGCCCTGCATGCGCTCGGGGTCACCAGCTTCCCTCCTAGGGTGCTAGGAGAGCTGCTGCAAAAGCGAGCGAAATCCCCCTTGCTATTTGGCAAAAAATCCATGTTTTGCCCCAAAAAATGGGATTCAGAGCCGTGTCCTCACGAGCTCATGTAGACGGAGAACATGGGCTGCTCCACCAGGTTTTGCGCTATCATGTTGTCGAAGACCGGGGTGACGCCGTCCACGGCCAGTGAGGGGTAGCCCAGCCCCAGGATGCCGTCGAAGGCGGCGTCCAGGAAGGCCTTGCCGGGCTCGCTGACGCTCTCCGCAAACTGCTGGTTGGCCACGGTGATGCCCTCGACCTGCCGCGGGAAGGGACCTGCTGGCGCCCGCCGGGCCCCG